CCCCCCCCCGCCCCCCGCCTCTCTCTGGCAGTCTCCAGTCTATTTAGTGCAAGTTTCACGTCACCCAAATGCTTTTCCCTACTGATGGTCAGGGAAATCACCAGCGAGCAACGCACCCGGTCACTCAACTTCTGCCTTTTTCTTCTGAACACACTGTATGCCCAAAGGTAAAATTCAACCAAAAAAAAAAAAAAAAAGGCACAACATGGCGTCCTTTACTTATTCCCACATAACAAGAAAGGAGATGTCTTAGATGAATGCAAGAAAAAAAAGTCAAGCCCGAATCCCCGATCCTGCACATTTTCCGCGCAGCCAATGGTGGTGAGCATTAGCCAGGCTAATGTATTAATTTTGCAGAAGTGTGCCACATCGCATGCAGGAGCAGGAATGCAAACTATAGCCTAGAGTGGTTTGAAGTCTACCCCAAACCAAGCCTTCCACTCTCACTGGCGCCAGAGTTTCATTCACAGCCCGCCCGTGTTTTCCATACGCGGCGCTCCCCATTGTCGCCCGCCTTCCCTTTGTGCCGAGCCGCCCCGCCGGCAGCCCCCGCGCCCGGCCCGCGCAGCCCGCGCTCCCGCCGCCCGAGCCCGCGGCTCCGCGTGTACCATGCGAACGCGCAGAGCGAGCCGCGCTGCCTCCGCCGCGCTGCCGCTTTCCCGTCTTCAGAGCCGGGGCCGGGGGGGCACGGGGAGCGCGGCCACCCCGGGCCGCGGGGCTCCGCCGGCGCTGCCCATGCTGGAGCGGAGCAAAACAAAACATACACACACACGCACGCACACACACACAGACACACACACAGACACACACACACACGCAGCGCTACCAAAGCGGGGCGGCTGCAAACGGATCCTGTAGCTTTAAAAAAACACCCCTCCGCCGCTGCTCCCCGGAGCCGGCAGCTGAGTGAGTTTGAAGAGGCACTTTCCAAAAAAAAAAAAAAAAAAAAAAAAGGAAAAAAAAAAGGGGGGGGGGGGGGGGGGAGGAAGGAGCGCGAGCAGGCGCGAACCGCGGCGAGATGCGATTCACGGCGCGATGCGCGCACGACGCGCTCCGGCCCCGCACGGGCGGGCGCACGGGCAGCTGCGGGAGCCGCTGCCGCCGTCCTTACCTTGAGCACAGAAGAGATCTGCGAGCCCCCCTTTGGCTTTGGGCTCTGCCGGGGCTGTGTGTGGATGGGCTCAGCTTTTTTGCTTTTATTACTATCTTTGCTTCGCAGATCCTGCTGTGATTATTATTATTTTTAAAGCTTCTCTGCCTCCTCTCTCTTCCCCTGTTTTTGCTGCTTCTTTTCCTATTTATTTTGTGCGTGTGTGTGTATGTGTGTGTGTGAGAGGGGGGGAAAAAAAAGCCTTTAAATGAAACTGCCGAGGCTGTTATGAGAAGAAAGGCAATAATCCCGTCTCTAAATAACAGAGGGAAGGGAGAAGAGGAGGAAAAAAAGCGAATTCTTGCTCAGGGCTTTGCAAACGCCTGCAGGGCAGAGGATTAGGCTACAATTAGCTCAGCCCTTTGCTCTCGCCCTAGCTAATTTTGCGATGAAAATTGGATATTTTTCCCTCCTTTTGGTGAAGGTCTACAGATTTACATCCCCCCCCTCCACCCCCCAGCCCCAAAATAAAATAAAATACAGCCCTTGAAAATGAAATAAGACTAGGAAGGCGGCCGGCTCCCCAGCCCGCGCCCCCGGCGCCGCCGCCCGCAGAGCCCGAACGCGCGGCGCGGCCGGGGCGGGAGCCCTGCGCTGCCCCGCGGAGCCCCGCGCAGCCCGGCCCGGCCCGACCCGGCCCTGCCGGGGGATAACGGTTCGGTGTTGGGGAGGATCAGGCCACTGTCACGTCCTTCAACAGACTTACTG